AAGGGGTTTCAGCCAGTTAGCTCTGAAGATGTTTCAGTTTTCGTAATGATACCAGTGGAAAAGAAAGTGTTGTGACAGCGGCTGTACGTGCACTGCAGCTACAATAAGTTGGCTAATTTTAATTCGGCATTCCGGAAACGCAAAACCCTTTTTGCGCCCAAGAATGGATTGATCCTCCTCGAGGCTCATTCTCTTGGATCGGGCGGAAATTCTCACTCCTTGGCTTACAATCACATATCTTTCAAATAACACATGATGGACTACTATTGCCCAAGGCCTTCTTTCGATTGCACCACCTTAACGAAATATCGCCCGGGCGCTGTTCCGATAAGGTGCATAAGATGGGTTATTTGAAAGATATGTGATTGTAAGCCAAGGAGTAAGAATTTCCGCCCGATCCAAGAGAATGAGCCTCGAGGAGGATCAATCAATTCTTGTGCGCAAAAAGGGTTTTGCGTTTCCGGAATGCCGTATTAAAATTAGCCAACTTATTGTAGCAGTGCCAGTGCACATACAGCCGCTGTCACAACACTTTCTTTTCCACTGGTATCATTACGAAAACTGAAACATCTTCAGAGCTAACTGGCTGAAACCCCTTTGACAGATAAATATAGCTACTGAAGAGAAAAGTTGGTGCATTACTATGCAACTTTGAATAGAAGTCTAGGTATGTTGCTAGAGCTGGTAATGCTGTTGAGAAATCAAAAAACCAAAACGCTATTCAAATCTTGGAGGCGAAATAAGAACTTTCAAAGGTTGCAGTGGTGGGATACAGTGGTAGCAAATAAGGGGAGTTTCCACTTACGTACCAAATGGTTGCAATGGCGCAGTGGTAAGCATCTAGCCGGCCAACTGATGGGTTGCGGACCTCCATTACCCTCAGCACGAACTGCTACATTTATTTCCTAGAAACGCCTCTTTTCCTAATTTCTCGGGTTCTTTTGAGTGAGCATTTTATCAGGGTGGACTGGAAACATGCCTGAAGTGACAGGTCATATACCGAATCGTCGCACTGCTGCTGAATTGCCTTCAGCCTGTGCCTTTTCCTCAAATATAAGAGAAGTGTCCGTACTTCTCGCTGAAGTCATTGTAGCCTATGATATAGCAATACTTCCGCTGAAGCCACATCAGTCATCTAAGGTCAGAAAGTCTGGAAGTT